CACACACACACACACACACACACACACACACACACACACACACACACACACACACACACACACACACACACACACACCTCTCATGCCAACCAGTGTTAGTAACAAACAGCAGACTCAGTCTTGGTGCTCAAAAACTCACGTACACGTTAGCACCTCATTTCCAGATAGCAAAGTGTCAGCTCACCAGCTTTCTCCCATGCAAACTGTTTTTAATCAATTTCTGGATTCAAAACAATTACTGAGTCAATAAAGTCTCCTGACTCCACTGAGTCAACTTTAAATACATTTATCTGGAAACTATCAGTTATGTGCGCTGATCTTCCATCTGATCTTCCAAATGTAAAACCAGTCATGTTTAACTTGTAGAAAGGTTATCGAAGGATGTGTACCTCCGAGTGGCGTTCTCCTGGAAGGGATAGATGACCTGCCCGTTTTGGCAGAGTTCACAGATGAAGCCTTTCTCTCGACACAAGCTGCAGCTGAAAACATGTGAGCTGGCAAACTTGATCACCTTGGACAGGAAAGGAGCGAGTTTTCCATCAATCACCTAGAGAATGATAAGAAAGCATGGACGGGTGTGAGGAATAAAAAAGATGAGCAGCAGGAGACATAAGAAATACATGAAATGAAACAATAAGTGTGACAGTTGCTATGTTTCTTCTTCTGATTTCTTTCATTATCTTTTTTAAGCCCACTAACTCCTCCTTTGTCTGTTTTCATCTTTTCCTTTTTAAGTTTTTTCTTACAAGTTGAAAATCTTTAGGGTGGCCAATAAAGTATTAGTCACACGCACCGAGGTAAAAACTAAATTAAAAGTACTAAAGCATGCATCATAGCTCAACATATACATTTAATGTTTAAACAAAATTCCTAATGAGTGTGTTTGATAACATTTAACTTAATATAACTAATTCAGAAAGCAATTTTATAATAAGCAGCTTAAACTATAATATTTTGACAATCAAGTCAAGTCAGCTTTATTTGTATAGCACATTTAAGAGACATCAAGTGTCAGCCAAAGTGCTGAACAGAGGGACAATGTAATCAAATAAAACAGGGGTGTCAAACTCAAATACACAGTGGGCCAAAATTCAAAACTGGAACAAAGTCACGGACTAACATTAATATTTATTGAAAAATATTTATTCCTCCAGATAAAAGAATGAATCTTTTCTTATGGACTCAAACACGTTTTGCTGAAAAACTGAATATGGAACAATCAAAGCTTAATACTAAACAATATATATATTAGCTGTATAATACCAGTAGGCCAGCTCTAATAATAATTTGGTATGGCTTCGCGGGCCAAATGTAATTAGGCTGCGGGCCAAATTTGGCCCGCGGGCCAGAGTTTGACACCTATGAAATAAAACATGACATTGAAGGCTATATTATTATTATTATTATTATTATTATTATTATAGCAGTTTTATTAAGTCAGTCTACCAACAGAGAAGCATCATCCTCCTTACTGGAATGTTTGAAGGTTGCCAATATATGTGTCTTTACATGTCTGACTGACAAAGACATTTCATATCCTTGCTATGCAGATGACAAACAGCTGTACTTCTCTGCTAATGTGCCAGGAGCTAGCACTGTAGCTCATGCAGATTTGGTTGCTGAAAGGCAGGGGCATTTCTATGATCTAACCTTTAGGGGCTCAGGCCCCCATCATAATATCATGCGTGCAGATGAATAATCACAGATTTCAGTATAATACACCAGTTTTATACTAGTGAACTCTTTAGTTATTAAACCAGAGGCAAAGGATCAGCTATGTTGACCAGACACTGTTTCAGTCTCCTAATCACATGCAGTAGAGACAATAGTAGAGCAGGGCGATATGACCAAAAATATTTATCACGATATACATTTGAAAATTTGTGATAACGATATAACTGACGATATAATCGTAAGACAAAACACTTTACAACTCCTCAACTTTATTAGTGCAAAAAACCAAAACATCAATGTATTTTCACTTAAACAAGCAGCTGTTTTTTATGTGCATTAAAGTTATATAAAAATTAACAGTGCAAATGCAAATTCCTCGCTGACAGTTTAACCAAAAGGCATTTCCAGTGGAAACTGGCTGACATATCCTCAGCATAACCATGTATAATATCCACAAAACTTAAAAAGAGGTTATACACACACAATACGGTAATATTATGTTGAAGCACAGTACGTATCACTCCGCGAGGCTCCTGCCTACGATAGCCCTAATGCTCCATCAAGCGGTGCGGCTTCGTAGCTTAGCAAAGTCGTACTGAAACATTTGACAGATTTTCGAGTGCCGTGCACATAAAATCGTTTCAAGGTCAGTAAACACAACCAGGATTCATACATAAGGCACACGGGATTATAAGGGGCTCTGTCGACTTTCAGAAAAATCAAAGGATTGATTTTAAGTGTGCCGTATTTTCCAAACAACACGGTAATAACGACGGCCCGCTAGCATGCGCTACCAAAAATAGTGCTTTGTTGTGTATCTGAGGGACAAAAGCTAAACCAGTTCCACACCACTGAAGTTGCAGCATTTTTACAAACCAGTTCTGGTTCATCTGTTTCATTCAACGATCCGCTTTCGCTCTTCTCATTCTGCGTCGCCGCCATGTGCGTATGTACTTAGCAGTACTTTCTTAAAATGGTCCCTTCAAATGTTTCAAGATCATCTTGGGGCAAGGATGTGTTGGCTTCCCCCAAGATTGTTTAGCAAATTCAGTTGAGTTTTAGAAAGTGCAGTTAATCTGGGGCAAAGACATGTCTGAAAGTAATATGGGGGAATGGAGGGAAATGACAAATGAGGAAACTAATGCGACGCCACATTCAAAAAGGACCAAAACAAAGTTGAATGCTTGGTGAAAAGGCAGCAAAACAAGACAGGAAACTAAAGGAAGTAAGGCAAACAGTGTATGAGGTGAACAACTTTTGATGGCAACGCTTGGCAAGTTCCTTAAAGAACTGAGGGATGGGGGGCTTAGCAGTGGGGGGCTCGAGTTGTGGAGTCGTGAATAGACGATGAGAGACTGCACAGAAAGGGTGTACAGACTCTTAACAGATATAACAACTCAACATGGCTTCAAGCTTTGCTGTACCTTGTTAACAGTGCAGACAGTGCTATAAGCTTAATAACCCAGGATATGTAAGACAGAGGGAGAAATTTAATCGAAAAAAACAGAGTAGAAAGTAAGAGAAAGAGTAGCAGATTCAATATACAAGAGAGATCTTGAGAGAGGGCGAGAGCCTGTATTCAGATACAAGTGGTTCCACCTGGCAGAGCTCTGGACCTGCCAATTATAACCTCCTTCATGCTGTTTGTTAGACGATGAGGACGAGAGGATGAGAGACGTAGAGAGGAGGAAGAAACCACACTTACACAGAGGAAACCCAGCACACTGAGGTACAGTGATTCCCTCTGCACTGAGTCACAGGACCAAAGCAAAGACTGCTACACTTTCATTAAGTTGAAAGGATTTAAAAACCTATAGGGTACCTTTACAAACATAAAGAAAATACAAAATGATTAGTCTTTGGATGAAATCGAGCCTGATGCCTTGGACCAATATTTAACTAACAACAGGATTCATTCTAGTAATTTTACCATCTTAAAAAAAGGTCGAGAGGTAACCTCCAGGCCTGAAAAATGCCACCAAAAACTTTACTGGCCACTTCAAGTTATGACCAGTTGAAGAAAACTTCAAAACTTTAGAGCAGAAATAAACATCTTTATGTATGCCTTTTTCTCTTGTTGAATGTTTGACTGTATTAAAGAACAATATATGATTACAAAGCTCTAAAGGGTTTGAAGCTCCAGCAATACTTCTGGTATGAAAAACAGTTTTACTTGATCAACATGGTACTTAAAAAAAAACAAGACAAAACAAAAAACCCACCAAAAATCATGTTGATCAAATAATACACTATTATTTGTGGAGCTTCAGCCTATTTAGACCCTTGTTCATCTCTGCCACACCAGAAGTAGCTGAAGTAGTCCAAGAAGTCTCCATTTTGTTTCCACCAGCTGATAACCACCCAGCTCTACCATCCAAATATGTTCACATCTGGTTTTAAAAAACACAGAAATGCTAATTGTGAGGCTTGAAAATTGTAGCTTACAAAACCTGTGGGTGAGTTCACTGTGGCTTTGTCCATCGTTTAAATACAGTCCATGGGAAAGAGAACAAAATGTGGGTTATATGCAGGTGCTCGGCTTTTTGAAGCCATCTTAGAAAAACAAGTACGAGACTGGTGATATAATTTTTTGTGACCAGTAGACTCAACGGGGAGAACTTTAGATGTGGAAAAGGGAAAGAAAGAATTTAAGCTAAGCAGCACGAGAGGAGTCAAAGAATATTACATCCAAGTTAAAAAAAAAGTAAACATTAGGAAAATTAATAACTAATTTAAATACACTTTACATTATGACGATTTACATTATGACGATATCGACATGATTTTTAAAAAATGTTAAGAGTACCAAAACGGTGGAACCAAAATGCAGCCTAAGTTAATGTTAGGGAGAACGTAACAACAGTCAGAAAACAAAAATGTTTCCAGACGGACAGACGAGCGGACAGGTACCGAGAGTGGCACACAGATTTGTGTGTCCCTCTCCCCCCACACCAAACCTAAGTAGGCCTGCTCAGTCCGGTCCAGCCCAGTCCACATGACAAATGGCTCTCCTGATGGAGGCTGACAAGCTCAGTAATTAAGGCCCACTATAATTGCACTGGGCAGAATCAAACGACTGGCAGCACAGCTCTGGTGACTGGCTGGTTCTCTTGGGGGATGATGGGAAAAGAGGAAGGCACAGAAAGATGGATGGATGTAGAGTGAGAAATAAATATGCAAGAAGAAGAATATAAAAGCAACGTAAAGAAAACAAGGAAATCCATTTCTATTTCTTGCCCATAGTTTCTTCATTTAAAACGATTACTGTTTCAAATGAATTACAGCAAACTGGTTTCTCAGTGACTTTAATCACATTTAGGTCCCTGCTGTCAAAGCCTTCCAGAAATATACAGCGACACTTCTATTAGTTATACCGAAAGCCCTGAGACCAGCAAGGTCACTGTGGGGTAATTATTTAGACTAGAACTTCCAACTTGGGCAGAACAACAATGAAGCCAAATATTGACGACCGTCCAGAGTGTGTGGGTGAACCAGTAGAGCTGTCTTTAATGGTCGCTTAGGGACCGACCAACTTCTGTCTCAATATACAAAAAATATACTGCAGAGCAAAACAAACTGGGAAATTATTGGGATTATTAAAAAGAACATAAAGTACAGTACATTCAGTTATCTTCAAATCAAAATTCTCTAGTTTCCCTTTTCACCTCCTTACAAAAGAAACTAGTTCCTGAGTTTAGTTTCAATAAATAAACCTGGAACCATTCAGTTAAAAGTGCTGTCTAAAAATTGGAATTTGAGCATAATTCATACTTAAGGTAAGTGACATTAATAGCTTGAACTGCCAACTAGAACAATGAGACTGAATGGCAGCTCACAAGCTGCTAGTCCATCCCCCAGCAAGCCAGTCACCCTGAACGTCTACACCAGTGAATGTGCAAAGGTCCTCATGATTATAGTTAACAAAAAAAAAAACATGAAGCACTATCAGAATTCATTTCAGCATACAGAGCAATGCTGTAGAAGTATTCACCTATTTAACCCTCATTCCCTCCAAAAAACCCTCCCAGAAAACACACACACTTTTCACCTCCTCTCCCTCCATCCCTCCTCTTAAACTCCTCCCCCTCCAGTTGAACCTCTTTCGCTGCTCCATGCAGAGTCTTTGTGCTCCAAAACCTCCTAATCCCCTAAAACTGCTGTTAAACAGCCGTTCGCCTGCCCTCCTCTCTCACTCGCCCTCTCACACACACACACACACACACACACACACACACACACACACACACACACACACACACACACACACACACACAC